TAAGAATTAATTGGATAGGGTGAAAAGCAACACTCTCAAGTCAAGACACACAAATCAATGGACTGTATTATTGTAAGCAAACTTTTCAATGGCCGGTGTTACAGAGTGTTGTAGCTAGAGGTGTCAATCGGGCGGGTTCGGGCGGGTTCGGGCTGGGTTCATTCGGGTTGTGGGTTGGTCGGGTTGCGGATCGATCGGGTTGCGGGTTGATCGGGTTCGGGTTGATCGGGTTGCGGGTTACTCGGGTTACGGGTCAATCGGGTTGCGGGCCAATCGGGCTGCGGGCCAATCGGGTTACGGGTCAATCGGGTTGCGGGTCGGGCGGTTCGGGTTACGGGTTTTACAGACCAGAACATCGCGTTAGTTTTTAGTGATTACTAGTAAGTCGTAAATCGTAACTATATGAAGCTAGCATAATACTTGTATAAAAAAAAAAGGAATCACTACTCAAAGTTATAAGATTAGCGTCAATAAAACAAATATCAACACAATTGAAAATAATCTTTCTTGTAGTATGAACACCAGCAAAATTGAAATCATCTATAGAATTATCCAAATCATCATGCTGATACAAGATTTATAAACTAGCTTAAATACCAATAAACTCTCAAATCTTCATGCTGAGTTGAGGATAGGTACGGGGAAGGGAGAAAGAGAGAGAGAAAGAGTGAGTGTGTGTTTGGAATTTAGAGGCTTGCGGGCCAAAATTTTTTAGAGCTAAGGTTTTCCTTTTTTGCGCTTTGTGGCCAAATTTTTTGAAAAGAGGCAGCTACTTTGCCGCTGGAGCAAATAAAAACTTGAAGCCAATTCTACCAAAAATGAAAATTTTGGAGCCAAATACCAAAAAATATTTGGAACCAAAGTCTCTTTTGCGCTTGGCGGCCCAAATTTTAGAAATACATTTTAGATTTTGATTCCTTACCCGAAATCATTTTAGATTTTGATTCAAGTGTCTCAATGATTTAGTATTTATAAATACATATTGTAAGTTAGATTTTGATTCAAGTGTCTCAATGATTTCTTATTTATAAATAAATGTTGTAAGTTGCAACCAAGTTTAATTAAGTCAAGTTTAGGCGAGAACCTTGAATTGCAAAGACTATCACAAAACGAACAAGGGTTTGGCCTAGTGGTAATACCACTAGCCTAGAACGGTAGAACCTGGAGGTCCCATGTTCAGATCCCTAAGTAGTTCCTTAATCGCAAAAAAGAAATCTATATCACCCTTATATATATATATAAAAGACTATCACAAAAGCCAACTAGTCCACCAAATCAATTTGTCAGATCTTTTAACTTGTTGAGTATATTAACATTTGAAAAAGTTTTAGATTGTGAAAAATAAGAGTTGACCTACTGAACCAGAAAGAGGCAGAGATCATAAACTATTAACATTTGAAAAGATACTACTGTATTTGTATGATTGGCTTAATGATACGTGTTGAAATTGTATGGATGTATGGATCCCTTTTCTTGGCGGGATTGAGCCAGTTCTCTCTTTTCTTGGCGAGAGGTTACCAGGGTTCTCTTTGCTAAAATTCTGCTTACCTTCTTCCTCTCTTTCTCACGTTTAAATACAATCCAAACCACTAAGTCCTAACAAAGTGGAACTACCCACGACTACCTGTTTCCCTACTCTTCCTCCACATATGGTGGGGATTCTTATTAGACACAAACACAACTAACAACTATTACTGCTAAGTGCTAACAAACTGGAAATGACTCTTTCAACAAATAAAGCAAAACCCAAAGACTACTCCTATAATGGCAACAACACGCTTGGACGATGGCTGGGCTACACAATCCCGGTAGTGTGAATTGGGCTGGGGCTCTTAAGCTGAACGTCGGTTGGGCCGAGTTGAGTGATTTGTGGGCTCATCATTACCACCCCCTAAACAACGGCCTTGTCCTCAAGGCCGAGCTTCATGAAGCAATCATCGAAATGGACGCCAACTTGCGGGTAGCTTCATCGATGGGAAAAGACTACTAGTGACCCGATTCCATCCCTCACACAAACAAGTTTGGTCGTCTTTTCCATAAGTGGACACAAGCACCTTAATTAAGCTGCTGAATCCATTTTTTCCCTCCCTTACTTGGGGTCTCAGCTTCTCCGTTGGAAGTAGATTCGCGTCTTTGGAGAGTTGAATCATCTCTTCCAAACCATTGAAATTAGCCTGGCAATCAGCCTGCAAAGAAAGCCCCAACTGTGCATATTTCAGCTTCTTACTTTCAAAGATTTGACTTTCGGCCAACACAGCAGCATGTGGAGCTTCATCTCTTTTCTCCCCTCCAGCTTCAGTAGCGAGCTTCATGGCCTCTTTCTTACCCTTCTCCAGCTTGACTCTCTTTTCAACCCATGTCAACCTTGCCGAGCCCATATTCTTTCGGCCATCCACCATTTCATCCTCGAGCTCTCCACCTTGAACCTTCTTCCCCAATAAAGTTATATAATATTGCCTTCCGTCCAAAGATTTGACCGTAAGTGCATTAATGCATTCAACATCAACTCTCTTGCCTTCCTCCTTAGTATTCTTCTTCCTTCTCTTCCACCAATAGAGAAAATCCCTATCAACGCCAAATTGCCCTAAAGTGGATGAAGCTAGTAGGCTGCCGGTATATGCGTAGTGGAAATATGCCATCCAAGAATTATGAGGGATTTGAGTCCCCTGTATTTGTAACGAACGGCGGTTAACCCGCAAAGACTGCGGCTTCCCTTCCCGTTGCTGCTTAACGGCGAGACGTGGCGAAGCAGGGGCAGCCTTGGCTGCTGATGCAATCGGTGGCTCCAGCTCAATGTCAATCAATGGCAGTTCTGTTGTGTGCACAGGGGGTGCGATCGGTGAACTCAAAAAGCTTTCAATCTGCTGCGGCAGTGGATCAATGACAGCAGCAACAACAGCTGTAGGCATCCAATGCGGTGGAGCGACGACCAGGGGCGCAACGGAACTTGGCTGCGGGGCGATCTTCGCGGTTTCCATGGCGCCCAGGCTCTCGAGCGACGGTGACGTTGTTGTGGGCGACAGGGTCGACATAGAAGGCGCAACTGATGCGGCGCCGTCTTCTTCTTCTTTTTCTAACGAATCGGCTATAGCTTCAGCTTGCGACCGTGGCGGTGCGGACGATACAGGTGGGGCGGCAATCTCCACCTCTTCCATGGCTGTCGTGGTCTTGATTTGTGGCAGCGGTGGTTCGGAGGCACTCGTCGGTGCGACAAGAGGGAAGGACAACAACGGCAGTGCAAGCTTTGCGCCGTGAGCATCTTCTACCTCGTCCTCTACCGAATCGGCAGTTTCAACTTGCGGCGGTGGTGTGGTGACTCTATCGTAAGCCTTGATGACTCTACGACAAGCTGTCATTGCAATATCCAAGGACGCCATCATTTGATTGATGAGTTCATCTCTGGATGGTTTTTCTGAGCTGATCATGATCGAACACGGATCGACGGCTCTGATACCAAATGATACGTGTTGAAATTGTATGGATGTATGGATCCCTTTTCTTGGCGGGATTGAGCCAGTTCTCTCTTTTCTTGGCGAGAGGTTACCAGGGTTCTCTTTGCTAAAATTCTGCTTACCTTCTTCCTCTCTTTCTCACGTTTAAATACAATCCAAACCACTAAGTCCTAACAAAGTGGAACTACCCACGACTACCTGTTTCCTTACTCTTCCTCCACATATGGTGGGGATTCTTATTAGACACAAACACTACTAACAACTAACAACTATTACTGCTAAGTGCTAACAAACTGGAAATGACTATTTCAACAAATAAAGCAAAACCCAAAGACTACTCCTATAATGGCAACAACACGTTTGGACGATGGCTGGGCTACACAATCCCGGTAGTGTGAATTGGGCTGGGGCTCTTAAGCTGAACGTCGGTTAGGCCGAGTTGAGTGATTTGTGGGCTCATCACTTAATTAAGTCAATTATGTTTTTCATATGTATGTGTGTTATCTATATATATTATTTATATACATCAATTAAAATGTTGATAACCCCTCCAAGGATTTCTACTTATCTACTTAGACTTTATGTGAATCAATTTAATGGCAATTGGGAACACAAAATAAAGCTTGTTCTTGGTGGAAAAGATGAAAAAATTAATGTGCACTATTAGGTTGATGATGTATCTAAATAAATATTTGATGATATTATATGTGTTAATAGGTTGATGATGTATATTATTATACTAAGTCAATAATTGATGATGTAATGATCAGACTTTAGTAAACTAGAATTTCAAATGTCAACTTTTGGTTTATCTTCATCGAATTCCTTCTATTATAGTTGGGCTGCGGGTTGGTCGGGTTATGGGTTCGAGTTGGTCGGGTTGCGGGTTGGTCGGGTTTCAGGTTAATCGGGTTACGGGTCGATCGGGTTGCGGGTTGGTCGGGTTGCGGGTTGGTCGGGTTGCGGGTCGGGCGGGTTACGGGTCATTGACTTTTAGTCAAATCGGGTTGCGGGCGGGTTGCGGGTCGGGTTGATCAGGCGGGTTACTCGGGTCGGGTTACATTTTGACAGCTCTAGTTGTAGCATCTTCACTTCAGAGGTAAATGGGGTCCCTCCCTTCCATCCTTGTCTGATTTGTATGCACATTCCAAAGGGTCCTTGTCGCATCATTGAGATTGGGCCTTCCTTCGTTTGATGTTCCACAACGTTAATATGTGCATCCTCTGGTTTCTATCACATGCCAATTTGCTTGTACCATTGTAGGCCATATTTCATTACAACTCTCGTACACCTTGATTTTGTTTGCTTGTGAGCTCTAGCTCCACTATTTTGTACATTCAATTTGAGTTGGACATGTAATGATTTCAAAAATTTTCCACCCTAATTAGTTTTACATATTTTACGACACTGTTTCTTATGAAGAAAACAAATGACATGATAAATAATCTAATGGTTGCAGAATAAGAACATATGAAGGTAAGAACTAGTACGCAAAATTGAATTGAGTTCTTGTCGGATATACATAAACTATAAAACCGGAGTTTTGGTTTAGAGACCAAACCCACCACCAACAGCCCTACAAAGCCTCAAGACCAAGAAGCACAAATATATACACAGGAGCCCCACTCCAAGAACCCTATCGAGCTTCATACCCTTCCAAGGCAGAACCACAAGTGCCCAAACCAACCCAGCCATCAGAAACCCTAAAGTCTCATACAAAGAACCATCTCCAGGGATCACATAACTCGAAGGGTAACTGTCCCAAGCAGAGATAACAAAGGACACCCCCAAACCCAACAGGGTGTTAAACATGGGCCCAGCATAGCACCCAGAGATGGCAACTTGGGCCCCATCTGGCCCACCATTCACAGCCATGGCCACATTGGTTATCAAATCCCCAAGTGAGTTCCCCCAAGCTAGAAGTGTCAGCCCCAAAACTGAAGGGTCTATCCCAAGTATGTAACCCATTGAGACCAACAGAGAAACCAGCTCCTCAGCAATGATATAAGTCCACGTTACACTCATAAGGAACCCACCAGCTAGCCATGGAAACAGCCACTTCTTTGGTGGGCTGCTGCTGTTTGTGTTCACGAATGCTAGATTCCCAAGCACAATCCCAACTAGCCCCGCCGCAAAGTAACTCACTAGGTTCCCACTTGAACCGAACTTCTTCTGCCTCTGTGTGTTGAAGAGTGCTGTCAATAGGATTGGAGATAGTGAGACTGAAGCAACTGCAAATGGCTTTGACCATTTCTCCTCACTCACAACTGGTATTGTCAGCCTCCTTGGAAGGTAAAGTGGTAGCTCCAAGAGATGTAGCACTTTGCCAATGCAGAGTAGTTTTGAACTTTCTTGGTGATGATCCTCTAGTGGGAAGCTGGGTTTCGACGAAACTGGTGGTGGTTCTTGATCATCAACATAGCCTAGAAGTGGGACACCATTCTCAAGGCTATCCAAAGTTGAAGGCTTTAAACTCACATTGTTCTGTTTCTTACTGTAGAATTGCATGAACAGAACTACACAGACATAGAGAATGTATATGGAGAGGAAAAGGATGGCAACCCACAATGTGATTTCTCCCACTACGAGAATCAAGAGGAGGGAAGCAAGTGAGAAGAGAAAGAAGCAAACATCTCTAATGAAGCTAGATTTCTCAATTGCAACTTCATGGCTACTGATCAATGTGCTGATAACACCGACCACAACATTGGACACAACAAATGCACCTCCCAACACACTGTTTAGCCCTACACCACCATTTCCTGAGCTTGTGAAGGAGACTATGCTCGAGAAAACATCCGGGGCGCCATTTCCTAGGGAGAGGAGGGTTACACCAGCTATTGTGGGGGAGAGCTTCAGGAGAGTTGACAAGCTCTCTAGTGAAGAGCAGAAGTATTCTGCTGCTGTGTTGGCTAGGAGGTAGAAGAGAACGGCAAGCCATAGGAAAAGGAAGGAGTGGCCGAGTAGTGGGGATTGGCCACATGTGCAGTAGAAGATTTGGAGGTAGTTTATGTAGCCTTTGGAGCTGCAAGCTGAAGAGGTGTACGATTTGAGGTAGAGGCATTTGGTGTTGTGATCTTCATAGTCATGAATTTTGCAGCTGATGGCTCTGGCTTGTGCTCCAATGATCAGTTTCTCGCCTTGGAGTTCAAAGGAGGGAAGGAAAGTTGAAGTTATGAGGAGGAAAGCTAGGAGAGATGCGAAGGAAGTGTTGAGGAATATAATGAGCTTCCTGGAATGGAAGATGGAACTGAAACTTGCCATTGGAAGCTAATTTTCTAAATGGTGAGGAGAATAGAAGTCCATGAACCCTTTTTGTCTGTCTCCCAAGGGTTGTGTTGTGAGTATATAAAATTACCATGAAAGAGCTGCAAAAACTTCATACTGGAAATAACTAGACAAGAGCTCTACCAAATGACAATGCCTTTGTAATGGGGTTCTAAACATTTCAGTGAAACACAAGCTTCAATGTACCTTTAAGGTAATTATGGGTCAATGATATTTTGTAATAAAGACAGTGAAAGGAAATTTCCCAGCTGGTTAAAGGTTGCTGCAGTAGCAATTCAGCAGGTAAAGGTAACTGGGATGAAATGGAGGGAAGATTATGAAACAGAGAAAGAAATGGAGAGAGAGAGAGAGAGAGAGAGAGATTTGAGAGCAGGTGATGGCCCAAAATGTCTTGGAAATGAAGCTATAATACTTGAATGCAGCAACTTCCTGCTGCCTGTACATTAGAATGAAACAAGGAAATTAACCACAAATCTTAAGAGGTTAGCAGTCATGTACATTTTGTTAACTTCTATGATGGGTAAATTTTAAACAAGTATTGTGACGGGACAACAACTAATTCATAGTACCCATGTTTGTCGTTTGCCATCCGCTTGTCCCTTTCTGCTGGCTGCTATAGACTTGCATTTAATGTGTCTGTACGTTGGCACCCGACCGGGCCGTCCACGGGCTAGTACGGCACGATACGGTTAGAGCACGGACACAAAATAAACAGTGTCCATTAAACTGTATCGTACCGGCTAATTAATAGCATTTTAATAGGTTTGGATAATATAAAAAAATCTGAAAAAAGTTTGAATAAAAAATAGACATGACCCTTTAATTTTCAATACTTGTTCTCGATTTATATGTTATATTGTAATTATAGTTTGCAAGTTTAGGCTCACACTATGAGTAGCTATGCCTATGCACGATACATGCACAGATGCACTCATTTAAATTGAGGTTGCTATGTGAAGCTAGCTGCTGGGAGTTGGGTTAGGCTGTTGTTTATCTCTCTTTTTTTTTAAAAAAAAAAAGTGGCTGTTGTTTATCTCAAAAACAAACTTGTATGCCACCGATGACACCTAATTTCAGCCACCCGCCTACAGCAGCACCTCACCAATTTTTGTTTTCTAGTGCGACGCTGGCTCTGCTGCTTTTACCTGTTTACTTTGTATTGGAGGTAGGGGTGTTCAAACGGTTTGGTTATCATGGTAATCGTTTTAATCGGTACTATTTGGATAATTTGGTTTGGTTAATTTGGATAATTGGTTTTGTTTGGTTAAAGTTTTTAGCTTGTTTGGTTTAGGTGGTTTGGTTTCAGACACTCTTAACCAGTCAAACCAAATTAACCAGTTAAGTAATTAGTCATATATCTAACATATATTATATACACATACTTAATACTTTGCATAACCACTCAAGAGTTAACGTTCATCCCTTTTAAACTCATAAAATATAAAGCTCAATATTGCTCATATAGTGTATATTTGTATATGTAAAATGTAGACCACAACATATGGACGCCTAATTTAGATAAATTTCATAAATTATGATGGATGAAAACTTGAAAGGAAGGTTATTTCCATCCTATGATAATTGCTAAGAGACTAAGTCAATTTACACAAACACAACAATTCATTAACCCATAACATTGTCATAAATTTTTGTTAGGTGAATACTTCTATACTAATCGTAAGATAATTGTCTTAGTTGCATGTATTTTTGTTAAGGGTCAACTATAACTACGTGTTGGTTGTTATGTTTTATTCATTATATAAATTGTGAATTGTTGCATTAACCGGAAAATTTTCATCGTCAATGATAATGTGATTTTATATTGGTTAATCTGGTTAACCAATTAACCAAGCCGATTAAACTTTAGTTTGGTTAATTTGGTTGTTGTATTAGTTTGGACGGTTTGGTTATGATATTGTATTCCATGGTTAATGGAATTTAGCCTTATTTGATTTGGTTATAACCATGGTAACCATTTAAACACCCCTAATTGGAGGTAGGATGATAATTTTCTCAATAATATTGGGTATGAAATTCAAATAGATGGTAAATGGATGTGTACTCATACTCATTTGTTTAGGTTGGGTTGGGTTGGATTTCTAATTCATGAATTTAGGTTTGCACACATAATCATATACAAATTACAGTTTGGTACCTCAACTTAATAGATCTTTAGATTTAATACCTAAGTTTACATTTTTTGCATATAAGTCATCAAAATAATGATGGAAAATTATAATTTAGTATCTTAAACTTTTTGGTATTACATTATGGTACCTAAAACTTTTAAATATTTAAAAATAGGTCAAATTTTTGTATATGTAGTTAAAGCACCCTCAATAGGGATGGCAATGGGGTGGGTTTGCCTAAACCATCCACATCCCCGCTTTCAAATGTCCAAACCCATACCTGCCCCATACCCGTGGGTTTCGGGTACCCATGGGTAATACCCATCTCGTACTTCAAACATTATAATACCTAAAATATTTAAAATTTTAAATGTAAATTTTCAATTATAACATTGAACGCACCTGGTATATTATGAAGTCGCCAAAGTGGCAATCATTCTTAATATGGTTCAAAACATCTTATCCTAAACATTCATTAATCCATTAGAGTACAATGTAATTCAAATCATTATTCCCTGACTCTAATACATCTACTAAGCAATAACTAACTAACAAAATCTTTCTAACATGAGGGGAAAAGTGAAAGAGTGAAGGGGAGGCTAAAATCATACCTGCCCCATACCCATCAAACGTTTTGAGGGTTTTATCCATACCCGTCTCATACCCAGTCAAAGCGGGGATTCCTCGCGTTGACTGAATCGAGAGCGGTCGGGTACCCGTAATCAAGGGTTTGATTGCCATCCCTAACCCTCAAGTATTGATATGATCCCAAAAGGACCAATCTATGGTGCCATGTTGGATCACAAGAAAGAACCTGAAATTTGGCTAAGTTATTTTTCTGTTTCATGTACCCAACTTTGCAAGCATGGTTCTCACAATTGGCTCGATGGAAATGGACGTTTGAGGGCTTGTTTTAAACCTGGTGTTAACTACAACAAGGTAGAGTGCTTGGTTGTTCAAGAAAAGGCCAGGAGGATTATTTTGAAGCTTCCCAAACAGCCTGGTTAGAACCAGAATTCTGCCTGAATTTTGATAAGGCAGAGACAATGTTCAGGAGGGCCAATTCGAAGCTCTATTCTGGACAGAAGGAGGAGAGTCGAGCTTCAAGAAGGATACCACACAAAAGTATGCATCTTCTAGTACAACAACAAGGCATTGGGTGAACAAAGTGATCCTTGGAAGAGCTCGAACGAGACGGCCAAAGTTTCCCATCGAAGTTGATTTTTTGCCTGGAAGAACAAGTAATCTGAATCCTAGTCGGATTAGGAATCATGCCCTGTTTGATTCAATTTCCTTTTTCGAGTTGGATTTATTTCCTTTTGAGTTGTAACTTTTTTAGGATGTTATTTACTTGCGTTGTAAGATTAGTTAGCCTATTTAAACTCATGTTTACGATGTAATGGTTAGTTTTTGTTCAATTGAATTAAAACGAGTGGTTTGAGTTCCATAGCTTATTGTTTTGTAAATTTTGAAGATCTTCCTAGCTGAATCTAGGTTAGATTTTGAGATTGTATTGCTCAGGTAGACACCCTGTTCGTGGCCAAGCAACTTCCCCAAGTTTTCGAGCCTCCTTCCCTACGAGAGGGTTGCACGAAATCACCATCCCCACACGAGCACAAGACTCTGTTTTTGTGTTCCTTTTTACCAAGTTTTGTATTCATTTGGTTGATTGAATCTCACTGTGCTCACTGATCCAAACCTACCTACTTAGGGGGTTATCAAGTGGCATCATTGCCTGGTTCAAACACAGTGGACAATACGGAGGAAAACGTTGTTGTAGCTCCGCAGTGGACAAGGTTAAAAGGCCCTGCTTCTGACGACCTTGCATTGCGTTTTCAACGAAGAAGAAGAAGCAGGCAACCATGGCAGGACATGCGTTCGACATGGAAACCGTACTGGATCACATGGAGGAGAGGTTCTAAACCCAAATCAAGGATCAATTGGGTCAGTTTAAACAAGAAATTGACCAGAAGTTTGAGGCTCTGACTCTACCGGAGAATGGAGTCCGAGTAGGGGACGTTCTCGGCCAAGAAAACTCATTTGGCAATCCAGAGTTTCTTAACCGAATTGCTGAGTTGGAACGACGTTTGATTGTTGCGGAACCACATCACGAACGTCAGCATCGCGATCGGCGTGAACGACAGAAGATGTGGAGCAGGTAGTGCTGCCAGGAATTAAACTATCTATGTCGTCGTTTCAGGGGACGATGAACCTTCATCGTACCTCGACTGGGAAAGGAAAATCATCCTTTTCTTTTAGTGTGGCCAATTCTATGAGGTCCAGAAAGTGGCAATGGCCATTTTTAGATCACAGATTACGTTGCCCAGTGGTAGGAACAACTACAACGTCGTCGGCAGCAAAACCTGCGAAATCCGGTGGCGACGTGGGAGGAACTACATGGGTTAATGAGAGACAGGTTCATTCCTGCCTACTTTCAACAAGAACTCTACGAATCCCTGCAAGAAATTTAACAGGGAGCAAGAAGCATGGAGTTCTTCCGGGAACTGGAATTGCTGATGATGTGTGCCGATGTTAGGGAGGACCGGGAAGCAACGATTGCCCGCTTTCTCCACGATCTAAATAGGGAAATTCGGCAGGAGGTTGAGCTCAGGGTATTTGTAGACTTGGAGGAAGCCTTGCATCTAGCAGTCAAAGTCGAAAAGCAGCAGAAGTCAACAAGGAGAAGCATGCCGGTAAGCAAGACGGTGACGGAACCAATTGTCGAGGCTAATTCCCAGCAATTGTGTTCCAACCCAGGAAAATCGAATCCCAGAAACGTTCAGCAAGTTCCTAATGAATGTTATGGAGGTATATAGTGCTTCAAGTGCCACAGAAGAGGGCACAAGG